ATGTTTCTTTTGTAACGTTTGTTTACTTATTTTGTTATTATCACTGAAGATGGCCGAAATAAATGTGCCAAAACGTATGAACTGACAATTTAGTTACTTATTATTTTTTGAGCATCTAACACCCGGCTCTGGGTCAATACAGCCAATTTATTTCTTAATAAGTTACCTTAATACTTTTATGCACAAAATAATGAGACAAATCAATTGGTATAAAGAAAACACATATTGCTTTCAAGAAAAAGTATGCAGTTGCATGTTGCAAACTACATATTTTTTCTTGAAAGTAACTATGTGTTTTCTTTATACCAATTGATTCGTCTCATTATTTTGCGCATAAAAGTATTAAGGTAAGATTCCCGAAAATTGAATGTTTTACAAGATATTTTGATTTTTATGTCAAAATACTGTAATTTACAAGCCTCATAATTCGAAAAGTACTTAATGAAAAATAACTTCATTATAGTGTTTTGAAAAGCTCTTGACACCAGCTATTAGATTTTGGAATCAAAAATAGGGGTTTTTATTTAAAAAACCTAACCTAACCTTGAAATGACCTTGAAGGTCAAGCTCAAGGTCAAATTGAAGGTCACCGTTGAATTCCTCGTTGAAAATTACTTCAGAAATAACCTTGACCTTTTTCAAAAATACCTTACATGAGAAAATATTCAGCCGTCCCGGGACTTAATTGACACCCTGTATATATTTAGTTTAGTGACATCCGTTATAAATATTACAATAGTAATATTCTATAAAAAAATGTTTTAAACATAAAGATTTCCCACGCCAAGAACATCGTATTATAGCTATATCATTGCAACCTTCAATGTCACATATGCTTGATATTTCTTCAAAACTAAATTTTACTGGATTTTAACATATACATAACAACGCGCTACGCATAAAATGCAGCGATTATTTATAAGGGTGTAATGTGGAGGGAATGTTTTAGCAACAATTTTAGTTAACTTTTTTTCCTCAAATGATAACAATGATATGCCATTTTTATTCTTACTTATTGACTATTGCGCAATACAAGCGCGGCATAAACGATACGTAATGCAGTGCGACGCATATAGTGCGACATTGATAACTCATTTCTGAAAGATGCGATTTCAAAACATAATAAAATCATATATGGTTAAATTCAGCGTAAAAAATGCTACAACTTTTGTCATTACAAAAATTTTGAAATTTGTAAAAATAATAACAAAAAGTGGGGATAAATTAAAAAAAAAAAATTTTTTTTCTTAAATCCAGTTGTGCGGTTATAAAGCCCATAAAAGGCTATACAACTTTTATTGGAAACATTTTTTTATATTTCTTACAGTTTTAATGATATTCAATCAAAACCGAATAGATCGCTTTAGCTTGTAGGGGTTATTTCAACCCTTAAACGTGCGAGAACGCAGAAAAAAAATACGTGTCCCTTATTTTGAGCTACTTTACAACATATTGAAAGTTCATCAAAATCGGAGGGGGACACTTGCGTCACTTTCTTTGTTAGTTAATGTATGTCAAATTTCAAATTTTTTTATTGAAAAATATTAAAACTATACGCTAATGACTGAAAAAAAAGGTATTCGCCGCACTGTGCGGTGAGGAAGCCAAAGTGATCTTGGTGTGACCTTAACATCAAGGTCAAACAAAGAGTAATTTTTTATGGTCCCCTTTGGACAAAACAAATTTTATTTGAAACATTTTCCACGAAAATCCGTCATTTACAAGATATTTGAGATAGGCAATTAAAATGGGACACCCTGTATATAAAGTTATTATCCAATTATGCTCAAATTTTGCACGTAGTTTAATATATATGAGTCGAACGCAGTTCACGCATCTATTGTCTTTAGATTTCTTTTATAGGGAACGATAAAAAGAATATTATTTTCATAAGAGAGCCGATTACTAGAGAAGACATGATTGAGTGAATCATTAATGTTTGCAGACTGATTTCTAGGGACGTCTTATTAGCTATTTATCACGAGTTTGAAAAACGATTGCATCATTGTTTTGAGGTAGAAGGGAATGTTTTCGAACATTTGAGAAATGTTCGAAACGCATGTCCGCACGCACGCAGAAGAAGTATAAATCCGATCGAGCAACCTCCGCATGGTACACCTTGGGTAATGCTAATGCCGACGGTACTTAAACTTTGATGATTCATAACTTAGGAAGTTCTCATCTAAAAAGTTTTCATTAAAGGAAGCCAAAGTGATCTTGGTGTGACCTTAACATCAAGGTCAAACAAAGAGTAATTTTTTATGGTCCCCTTTGGACAAAACAAATTTTATTTGAAACATTTTCCACGAAAATCCGTCATTTACAAGATATTTGAGATAGGCAATTAAAATGGGACACCCTGTATATAAAGTTATTATCCAATTATGCTCAAATTTTGCACGTAGTTTAATATATATGAGAGGCGACTTTTCTCCAAGTTCCAAAACAAACTTTTAAAATTTACTTTTTTTTGTTTTACCCTAGTGCGCAGACAAAAGTATAGACTGTGACATCGTGACAAAAAAATTAATAAATCGCGCGGTATTACCTCGTAATACACAAAATATTTTAAATGCTTTAAATGTTTCGATACTGGTTCACGGCACATTGTTTGTTTCATTTTTTTTTTTGTTACCTATGTCATGACATTTGCGCTATCACTTGCTATTATTCGCACGAGGAAACTCGAGCAGATGCGACGTTATCTATTTCCTACGCTGCGAGTGTTGAATGAATTGAACGCAGTCCATGTGATCGTACTTCTCCGAGTTTATTTTTTTGCCATAATGCCAGTACGATCGTGCGATTGTTATAACTTGCTCGAGCGATTACAATTAATTGTATTTTCGTAACTAACAAGGAAACGTTCACAAGTGTCCCCCCCTCCCCGATTTGATTCTTCTTGAAATATGTTGTAAAACATACAATTTGAGGAGACACGTATTTTTTTATAGCGGCCCTAAATCAAATTTAAGGGGTGAAACACCCCTTTGAAAAAAACGGGTCTTTTGTGTGTAAATATCGCCAAAACCGTAGGAGATATAAAAAAATGTTTCAAATAGAAGTTGTATGGCTTGTAATGGGCTTTATAACTGTGTAGTTGGATTTTCAAAAAATGTAATTTTTTTAAATTTACCTTTCCCTTGTTATTATTTTTTCGAATTTCAAAATTTTTGTAATGACAAAAGTGGTAGCATTTTTTACGCTGAATTCAACCAGATATGACTTTATTATGTTCCAAAATTGCATCTTTCAAAAATGAGTCATTAGTATCACACTATATGCGTCGCGTTGCATGACGCATCGTTTATATCGCACTTGTGTTGCGCAATAGTCGTTAAATAAATATAAAAATGACATGTTATCACATATTTAAGAAAGAAAAGTTAACTAAAATTGTTGCTAAAGCATTCCTTCCACATTACACTCTTATAGAAAATCGCTGCATTTCGTGCGCAGCGCGTTGTCATATGCAAGTTAGCTATCAGCGTATATTACACTTTGAAGTTTTGCTTGTAGTAACTACGGGAAAATAATTTATGAAACGAAAACAGTGAATGAATCAATCTATTCAACATATATCCACCCTGAATGTCAAAATACTGTAATTTACAAGCCTCATAACTCGAAAAGTACTTAATAAAAAATAATTTCATTATAGTGTTTTAAAAAGCTCTTGACACCAGCTATTAGATTTTAAATAAAAAATAGGGTGTTTTATTTAAAAAAACAAAGTTGACCTCCATATGACCTTGGCATGTACACCCTAGGTTAAACCAATGTCATCATCGGATGTCCTCCTCCAAACCCAACAACTTTTGTCTAAGTCATTTTTCTTGAAAATGTCTCTCTGAAAAGTTATTCACGTGGGGTTTTTAAAATTGGACACCCTGTATATTATAATTATATTTATGATATACATTTATATACCTTATAGTTTAAAAGTATGGTAGTAATTTAGTGGAGTGTAATAGTATGTAGAATGTATCGCAGTATATTAAAATTATTGAAAAAGAGTAAACTGTACAGAATTTTATATTTCAATTCATTGTCAGTCAAGTCGGGCCAAGAGGATAGATTCAGGGTGTATATATGTTGAATAGATTGATTGATTCACTGTTTTCGTTTCATAAATTATTTTCCCGTAGTTACTACAAGCAAAACTTCAAAGTGTAATATGCGCTGATAGCTAACTTGCATATGACAACGCGCTGCGCACGAAATGCAGCGATTTTCTATAAGAGTGTAATGTAGAAGGGATGCTTTAGCAACAATTTTAGTTAACTTTTCTTTCTCAAACATGTAATAACATGTCATTTTTATATTTATTTTGCGACTATGCACAACACAAGTGCGGTATAAGCGATGCGTCATGCAGCGCGACGCATATAGTGTGATACTGATGATTCATTTTTGAAAGATGCGATTTCGGAACATAATAAAATCATGTGTGGTTGAATTCAGCGTAAAAAATGCTACAACTTTTGTCATTACAAAAATTTTAAAATTTAAAAAAATAACAAGGGGTGGGGGTAAATAAAAAAAAAATACATTTTTTGAAAATCCAACTACACAGTTATAAAGCCCATTACAAGCCATACAACTTCTATTTGAAACATTTTTTTATATCTCCTACGGTTTTGGCGATAGTTACACAACAAAGAAAAAAAACCGTTTTTTCAAAGGGGTGTTTCACCCCTTAAATTTGAGTTAGGGCGGCTATAAAAAAATACGTGTCTCCTCAAATTGTATGTTTTACAACATATTTCAAGGAGAATCAAATCGGGAGGGGACACTTGTGAACGTTTCCTTGTGAGAGAAAAAAGTAAGCCCAGGGGACATCAAACAATTTTAAGGTAAGTAATTTATCATTTATTTATTATTTGTAGCAATATGAATAATGTTGACAATCGTATAAAATGAGGTAAAAACAAGAAACTATTTTTTTTCTTTCTAAACTCTAATAAGTATATAATTTTATATGTATATAACTTTAACTTTGTTAACTTACCACAAAATATGTTTAAATAACGTCATTTTTTTAATTTTATCAATTGCTAAAAATTATATTGAACTTCAAGTTCAAAACTTTCATGATTTTAAACTTTCAGTAACGTTTCAATCAGCAAACCGCAAAATCAATTTGCGCTTAAGGCGATTATTTAATACTTTAATCCGCTATTGTGTAAAATCGTTTCAGCATACATATTTGCATAATTTCCTTCCGTTACTTTCGCAGATAGCTTCTGGTATAACTACATATCTGGTAATTCTTCATAGCGCTAACACCTAGCGTAATCTCCGGCGCTATATCCGTGTAATCGGTTCTCATTGATTCATCGTCCCGCTAATATCATCTCCATCTTTCCCACCGCTTTATGGATCGATGGTAGATAACGGATTGAATAGAAGGATGCAGAGTTCCGTCGATACAAAAAGTAAAGAAATATAGGTAAAGGTATAGGAAGAAGTAACATCTCTGTCGTTTTGATTAATCTTTGACATCAAACGCTATACAGATAACTACGGAGGAACGAGTGTCCGTCTGTAACAGAATACGTATGAAATTTGGTCGGTTCTTTTGTGCTGAAGAGAGCGTTATCGTAAACGGCAATACGAGCCGCGAGCAGCACATTGTTGTTCATCGATCGGCAGCAACGGTAGTACAGCCAGTGAGTAATAGTAGTGGATGCTGAAAAAGCGATATTGTTTCTCTTGTGTACAGTGGTAGTACGTTTGCACTATGAAAAGCAACGACAACTCGGAGAATTCCTATTTGCGTAGTGCTGGATTATTACGATATGAATGATTTTTTTACTTGGAAAACTTTTATAAACTGTAAACTCGGAAACCTTACGGAATACTCTTGCGTCATAATACGATACGTGCTCGGTACGATGGGACAAAGATTTGAATCAACTTTTGCTTTTCATGATCACGATGACGTTTCCAATGGCATAAGCTTAGAGTAGGAAAGACTGAAGAAAACGTTGGGATTTATTTCGAGAACGGATCGCATCTTCCATGATCAATCACACTGACAGCTGAAAAGTATAACTATTTGTTGAATAGTGAAGTCTGGATAGAAAGTTCCAACAGAGCTGTGTTGAATTTGTAACAAATTCTGCGGATTTTGTGATGTGTGGACAAACAAAATCGAATATTTGAATTTATTTTAGAAACTAAAGCATCTCGAAAATTATTTGCCATAGATCCGACTCACTCAGAAAAATAAACTCAATAAAATATAAAATATAAAATAACGCTAACAATTTCGATTTTGCGATTAAAATAGATAGATCAAAAGCAAAGAACTTTAGTATCTACTCAGCAATTTATATTTATTACGCTTAATAAAATTATTGTTGTTATTGTAGCCTTCTCAAATTCTTTAATTTCTGCAGTTCGAATGTAGTAACATTTAATTGAAAACTAATCAAGCTAGCTGCCAAATTTTTTTAAATTAAGAAATTTATAAAGTCAATAGTAAAAATTTACAAGTGTCGATATAAAATTAAAATAAAAAAAGTTTATCGTATTTCAAATTTTAGTCAACGAATCGGGATTGATCAATTATTTTCTAGTATCGAAACTTTTATTGACAAAGCAAATTTTTTCTATAAACATACAAATAGCAAATTGTAATTGAAAATTGGTTTTTACAAAGCACTATTTTTACTATTTTAGTCAAATAGTATTATTAATTCAATTTTCTCATTATTTCAACTTAATCTCGCAATTAAATTTGTTATTTTATCATAAATGTTTTGATAAAAGTTTTTAAAGCGTTTACGATGCAATGATGGTTTTGGGCACGTCCATGAAACTGGACGCGCGAACTTTTATTCGGAGCGCAGCGTGTACATAAGCGAATGAATGAAAGGATGCAGGACGCAAGCGCGCGCGGCGATCCGTTGACGTGCGCCTTTAAGAGCGGTAGCGGGAGCTGCGATTCTTCCCGATCAGTTCGCCGTAGACCACCATTCGTACCTATTCGTCCGCCGATGGTCCGATTTTGCGATAAATTTATTTTTTGAGCTCCCTTTCGTGATCTGATTCGAAAAGTTGGCGACAATAGATGCAAACGTTACGAATCCTATCGGTAGTTGATCCCTCAGATTACAACAGTTCATCTCGATTCCCGGCGATGTAGTGATTCCGTGATGTGTGTTTTACATTTAAAGATTTTTTTCAGAGATTAATGTGGAATTGGATAGACTCGCATCTGACAGCAAAATTTTATTTTTTTATTTATTGATTTTGCTCTCATGTCTGTTTAAGGCTTGAAAACGGAATAATTTCGGTAAGTTCAAGTTTTGAGTTCAAATGTTGTGATGATGATTTTTATAATTATTCAAGATGATAAAATCGCAAAAATTGATTTAAAGTTTAATATAGAAAAATGCACTTGTCGACATTAAACCAGTATCAATATACGGATCCGCATTAATGGACGCAATACCGAGTTTCTCAAAATGTAGTTGTCGTGCCAAAGCATCGATTAATGAACAGTGATAAATGAAATTTTTAATCGTTTTTATGTTCAGAAGTATTAACCTCTGGTTTTTTATCCAGAATGTTATTATTCGTTATTCTACAAATCCGAGATAAAAATCGATATTTACACAGTACTGAAATTCATTAAATTGCAGTGCACTTTTTATAATTTTAAAAATAATACGTGAATTGAAGCGCGGATGTAAAATTCACGTCGATACACACTTGTGATTTCTTTGATACAAAATTAATCATTTATCTTTCCACTTTTTTATCAATATGTTGTGACTCTTTTGCAGAAAAAATTTTAATAAATATCAGAAAATATCGCAAAATGACTAATTAAATATAAAAATATTTCAAAATAAGCGATAAAAATAATTTTTTTTTAAATTAGTGAAGCATTACGCATATGCGCGCAGTTTAATTAATTAATTTCGGTTTAACTAATTATCTTAAATTTATGCCAATATTTATTATATTAATTGAAGCCGATAGTCAGTTAATTGAACCTTGAATCTCTATTACATGCAACGTGTACTTTTATAACTAGCACACGAATGAGAAATAAATCGATTTCACAATTATATATTCTTTCGGTTATTAATCTATAATTTGGGCAATAAAAAAAAGCATATTTAAATTTTAAATAGTAAGACAGAAGAAATTTTATCTCTCTTTCTCTCTCTTTCTCTCGATGTATATACATATTTATCGATAAAAAAGAAACACAATTACTTCGTATCTTGTATACGTGGCCGATCTTCACGATCCTATTAACGCCTTCCCGGCAAATGATTTGACGCAAGTAAACTCTGTCGTGCCAGTAACTTATTTATATATACTTATAGATACGAGATTTTAATCTCAATCATATTCGTGGCATTGTACTACGTTGCTGACGACGCGTCGGTTTACAATAGCATAGCGGGGTCAATCTCGCTGCGCACATCTGTTTGCGATTTGTGTCGAAAGGAAGATTTCATTCCAAGATTTATCCCGAGGTCGACAGACACCGATCGTTCAGTTGCCTTGATGTACGATTGCTCTTGATAGAGGCAAATGAAAAAGCTTATTTCACCGGTAATCCGATTTTGATTGCGCGAAAAGATTTATCTCACCCTATCGCTTATTATCGTCGCTTCGCACCACGAAGTAAAGCAGAGCTCGCGATTGTTGTGCTGTATATGGCCACATATTTCACATCGGTACTTGATGTACTTTGAAGACAAGCTGATATTTCTCATTATTTGAGAGCAATATCAGGTTCAATTTAATTGGATCACAACGAACACATTTTGTTGCTTTTGCAACGACAAGATGAAACATGCTTATTACCATTAATTATAGCTTGCGGGAAATCTGTACGATAACTCTATATTCGCGTTTCTCTACGTACTTTCGCTTGCAACTGCTCTTCATTCGAGATAACGAATAACGAATAAATCACGAAAAAGCGAGCGACGAGTGAGCTTCAAAGAGATTTGAAAAAATGAAAAAACCTGGTATCATCTCGACGAGTTAGATGTTAACGCTGTAAACATTGATCGGATCTAAATCGAAATATTTCGCTCGCAACGCTTGATTGAGTGGAAGTAAGGTTTCTAGTACATGAAAAATTGAACTTGCTAAATTTACTCCGGTTTCAAGCATCGGTAAGAATCACTTAGATGCGCACACGCCCCCGCGTTTTCCGCGCAATTGAATTATATCGTGCAGAGGGAAATGAAATGAAGAGTAATAGAGCGACCAGCCGCTTCGCGAGTGATTTTGTCCGACGCCGTTTATGCGGAAAACGGTTGCCACCTTCGGACGACAATGATGACGGCTCCCACGCGGTTTTCGAGTCCTCGTCTCTTTTTTGTTGATTCAAGACGAGATATTTCGTATGCTCGTCGAAAGTCGCGATGCTCTTTTTCCATTCACGTAGCCATGCAGTGAATTACGGCGCGCAACCGGTGAATTTCTGGCCTGGGTAGTGTGCTTTGCTCTCGAGGAAGAACCACGTTGATGGAGGTGAACGCGACTGGTATCATGTTGACGACAATGGCGTCGACATTGGCCTGGCTGTCAAAAATGAACGTGACTCACAACGACGATACATCTTCATCGATCCGTAACAACAACAATATGACAAACTTGAGTGCGATATTGTGGGATTACTATGACAAGATCTATGGAGATACTGATTACTTTCTGATCGTCCTTTATGTTCCGGTAATGGCGATTGCAGTGATAGCCAATATTCTTGTGATCGCGGTAGTCTTCAAGTATCATTACATGAGAAGGTATGTATAATGTATTATAATTAAAATGTGTATGGATGTGTATGAAATTTGAATAATGTCACTACATACTTTCTGATTGATTAAATTTATAGTATAGTAATTAGTAATATAATATCTGATGTTTAATAACAATTAAGATTTTGCCTACAATTAAATCGCTTGGTTATACAATTATGCTATCAGGTCATCTCGGAGGAATATATTATACTTTGAATAATTTATGATATAAGCACATTAGATTAAAATGGTGCTATAAATAGACTATATTAAAGCGATAATATCATTCCCGAACGAAAAGTTAATCATATGCGATATTTGCGTGTATATTACGCATTATTGTGGCATCTCCGGAATATGGACGTGACATTACTGCGGTATTTTGAGTGTCACTTTATGAAACTGACTTCTCTATTGCGATCTGCGCGGGGTAATAATTCGAAACTCGTAGACGACTGGATATTCGTCGGTTGCCTGAATTTTGCTAAAATATTCCAGTAATGCAAGCTTGTGTTACTCAAGAGGGATGCCTAACTGTACGTTAAATACAGATAAGATATACAATATTTAGTCTGGGTTAAGTTTGTCGTAGCCAAAGATGGTGCAAGCAAGAAAATTTTTACTTCTATAACGTATCTTTTTTTTCTAATTTCATTGGTCAAATTATGCACTCATTGTCAGTGTGAATTTATAATACTGGATACAAATATATAATGGACAAAGAGATCAATAATAAGGTCATTATAATGCCCGAGACCAGTCGGGCAGAGTAATAAATAAATATATATATATATATTTATTTATATTTGTTCTTATTTATATTGCCCAAAGTGATAAATTAACAAATATTTATCACTCTGCTCGACTGGTCTCGGACATTATGTATAATGCCTCTTTTATCATTTTGTCCATAACATATACACTTCTTACATCATATATGTATATTTTGCACATATAATTTTTCACAGCATTTTCAAATTTAGAGATCTTTAAAAAGGAAGTGTTATAGTAATTTTGTCGTTGTTAACAAAACCATTATTCTGCTAAATTAAAAAATTATGAAACACTAACTAGGTGTAATAAGCACACCTTTGTTTGTACAGCAATACAGCACAAGAGAAAAATAACACGGGAGTAATCTTTTCTAAACAATGGAAAAGTATGCGAAAATATACAAACTTATTTGAAAAACATTGTAATTGTTGCTCGAAATTAAGATTGCTGGAGGCGGAAGAATTTCGTATGACGTGATAGATTCCTTGCAACATCTTAGCCTCTTCTCAACTATGTCTCAATGCATTTCTTTATATATGCATGTGAGTCTATAGAAAGAAAAGCAGTCACTACGCAAGAAAACTCTCTCTCTCTCCCTCTCCCCCCCTCTCTCTCTCCCTCTCCTTCCTCCCCCTCCCCCTCCCCTCCCTCCTCCCCCTCCCCCCTCCCCTCCTCTCACCCTATCTCTCCCCTTTTTCCTCCCCCTATCACCCTCCCTCCCCTCTCTCTCCAACCCTATCTTTACTCCCTCTCTTCTTCCTTTCTCCCTTTCTTTTTTTCTTTCTCCCTCCCTCTATCTCCTTCTCTCTTCCTCAATCCCCCCTGTCGTCAGTAGCAATATAGCGTAGCAATATTGTGTTGTATACGCTACATCCAGTGCTAGATATGATTCAGATTTGCCGTCATATATAAACTTTTATAGAACATGGTATTCAAATCAAAGTTTGCAACGAACAAACATTACTACTGAAGAATATGAGAAAATACAAAATAGTTTGCATTTATCTCTTGAAAGGAATGGACGGAATATTTGTCCCGGGAAATTAACTTTCTATGTAATTTTTGAAAATGGGAGAGCTGGTTTTATATATCAAGGATTAAAATTTATTTTTATTTTATTTTATTATTACTTTTTTAAATAAAAATTTTTACTAATCTTTTTACAATCCATTCATTTTTTAGTATGCAATAATACTGCTTCTCTTAATATGCGATTGACATTGCATGCAATGGTACAATAACGTAGTATTCAAATATATCAAACATATCAATCTTCTGACTTTGACATTGGTTCTCTCGCTAATATAATCCCCTATATATGCAACATCACTAATTTGTGCAAAATAGAAGGATCCTCCTAATGAACTACTAAGATATTGTGTAAATGTATACAGATATGTATTTAGAAGGATGGCAAAATTTATGATTTCTGGATTTGACATAATTTCGATATGAGATGATATCGATTAGTTTCTTTAATATTTAAAAAGTACTACAGTAAACACATTATATAAATATATATCATGCAGAAACTCGTCTAATATCTACAATCAACTATAGCTGAGCGAAAGCCATCATAAATTTATGACAATGTAGAGGAAAATATGTTTTGCTTACAAAGGATATTACATAACATGTCAAAATGCGTCACTTCCGGTTCTTTATGGCACTCTCTTGATATATTATATTTATTTATAATAATATATGAAATCATATATTTTGCAAAACGGCTAGCAGCCAGTATTGTAATTATCGTAATTATTCTCGGAATTATTTTGGCGATTTAATCATACAAAACTTGTACGTTTTTAATTTTGTATAGCGACTATTCTGAATTGAAAGAGAATTCCCATTTATATTTCCTTTATATAAATATACTAATTTAGTTCTTTGAAACTTTGTTTTTGTTTCATATTTAATTTTAGATAATTTTATTTAATATTTTATTTAATATCTTTTCTTTTTATTTGTTTATTTAATGAGAAAAGAAGCTTATCATTTTATGGAATTTTACGTAAATGTTTGACATGCTTGAACAAAACAAGAAGGATAAAATAAAAAATGATCCTTGTATTTAATTATATTGCAAAAATACATTTTTTAGCAAGTTCTAATGAGAAATGCTGTAAAATTATGTGATGCTTAGGTAATATATACATATGCATACGGGTATTCTGTTTATCCATGTGGAAATTATAGGAAAACAAGATTCTACATGACAAAAACACGTCTAGGCGAATACGTTTAGACGGAATTACTTTAATGGAGGTACGCATCAGATGGAATTTTTCGAATAAAGGGCGATGCGTAGGGTATTCGGGAGATGTTCAAGCATTTGTTCCACACACACACATACACACACGCGTGCGCGCGCACACATACACGCACAAATAAAATGTAAAAATTTTTATTTTTATTATTTTTTATTTTAAAAAATGCATTTACATACAAATACAAATACAAATACAATACAATTTTTTATTTACGTTTATTTATTTTTAATTTTTTGCTTTTATTTCATGCAATGCATAATTACTGCATGTAGATTGTTGTATGCAAAATTAAAAATTTAATAGTCATGAGTTAACTGAGTGAATGCAATTAGTCATTGTCGACTAATTTTACGTGTCAATCGCGACTCACTGTGGAACACTTGCGAATCGTATAATGTGAGATTTTCGTAAACGTACAATAGATTCGAGGGAAAGTAATGATCTTCGAATACGTGAACTTTGATTGGCCATGCGATCGCCCCACTTGCAGCATGGCTTACCGCAGGATATTGCCTACGGTACAGCGGAATTAAACGACCAGTAATTATTATCCTGGGTGTGAGCTGAGTGGTTAATAGACTAGACAAAGGTCAGACAAATTCAATACTAGAGAGATCGCGGTTAATGCATAACGGCACTTACTTTAATTATCGCCTTCCCATTTTTATGCGAGCAATTTATTACCCGGAATTAGTGATCGTGATATCCCAACTTTCAACCCAGTGTTGTTTACCAGTATAATTTAGCTGTTATAATCATGTTTACTCCGGAATATTCATGTTCACAACCTTGAAGCGCGCCTGTAATTATTCTTGTGCATATGATAACGCATCCTTGCAGATGACTACAGAATGCATTGCGGATAATTTGTTTATATACGGACCGATGATATGTATGTATGTCATAGTCTAATTACTCTGAATCATTATTAGTGATAACTATGCAAAATCTATGTAATTACAATCATAATTGAAACTATAGGTACATTGACACATTGCGTCATAAATATTTCACTAATCAAATACGTGGCATTCGTGCATCACGGCGTCAATAAGCGTGGCGCGCAGCGAATAACAATTCCTTTGAGAGTGAACAGAATTGACTGGCGCATAAATTTTCATAATCGCATATCTCCGCTCCTGATGGTACACGTGGGACTAAAAACTTGGATTTCTATAATCCCGATTTACATTGCGAGGCTGTATGGAAGCAATTCATATATATCATAGAATATTTGTAAAGGGATCTGGTTGCAAGATTCAAAATTTTTGAAAAATTGAAAATTACTTTTGATACCGTGGAGTTTGAGAAAAAAAATATTATAATATTTTATAATATATCTTGTATCGTTTTATTGATTTATGTACATACATATGTGAATGTAGCACATTATTAATTGATTGAAAATTTTTTTTTTAAGAGAGGAAGACGAACCGATGTATGATTAGAGATTTGTCCTAAAATTTTCACACTGGGAGTTTCCCATTTGGTGCGCTTTCCCAAATTCCATTTTGTAATATTCTAGAAAGAGTATCGCGCCCGGCAAAAGAAGGTCGTTTGAATATTTAATATAACACTCACTCAAAAAAATATTTCGCTGATGTAGTTAGATTTCTAGATATCGCAACAAGAATGTATCGCTATTTTTCGTATCTGTGAAAACATTGTTTGTCACATATAGAATTTATAGCAGTAATGTTCTAGCAATAGCTTCTGAAAAATTTAGGTACCATTGCTAAATGTTATTCATTGCATGATCTAACACGTGATTGATCTTATATAGATAGGCGCTTTAGAGAAACTTTCTTTTTAAAGTTCACAAACAATACAGATATATATTCTGTTTCTGTCATCTAAACTGATTAAGTAATTACATATGCAATATCACAACAGTTGCTAATCATTTATCTGTTTTAGTTAATTTTTTACACCTAGAAAATTTTAGCTATTATTGCAAGATCATTTTTTTGAGTGCTCGCGTTGTATTCGCGAGAAGCATTAATTTTTGCCGAAGTAGCTTGTCTAGTCTCGACTGTGGAGAAGATGCAGACTATTGCTCTAACGAAGAAGAATGTATCCCAGCTCGTAACTGCTCGTAACTATTTCGCAATGCTGTATACATATCTGTGGCCCGCTCGCGCTTTCGATCGTAGCGCAGCATCGCATCACGCAAATAAACCACCGCAAGGCGTTCATAATGGATAAGCGGGTGGGCGACGTTGCCGTGGCAACTCTGATTATTTTTCGTTCAGAAATTATCGCTCCCCACGCGAAGTGCACGTCGACGGAAATCACGTATCTACGTAATAAGAGCACAATGAGGCAATGGGAGAACCGTGCATTTTGCGACGTCTGCTCCTCCACTTTCCTGCTGGATATAGATTCAGCTGTCGCTCCGTTACTCCTTTCGTCAATGATGACATTTCCATCGCATTCTGTAATCTTTTCCATCATTTTCCACATGGTAGGCATTTTTAGATCAAATTAAATAAGAATGATTTAATGATACTTTCAAAGGATAAAAATTTACAAGAAAGAAGCTGTTGATTATCAGGTGATATACGATGTCCGTCTTGTAAAAATGCATTTGCAAAGTAAATGCGGATGAATCAGATCAGCGAGCAAAGTGAATTATTTTTAAATATTTTACAACATTTTTAAATATTGATGTAATTTAATCGCACTTATGTAATTTGTGTGTGTGTGTGCGTGCGTGCGTGCATGTGTGTGTGAATGAACCAATTTTTAGAAATATAAAATAGTTAAAAATAATCCGTTTTGTCCGGCGATTCAATCCATCCGCATTTATCTTAATGATAAACTGAAAAAAATTTTTTTATATTGCTCTGATTGTCATTATAATTAAATATTTTTGTTTCTGTGTCCTTTACGTTTCTTTATTTTATATCCCTCACAAAGTTACGATGATGTTGTTCTTGATGAATATTTTTTAGCTGTATAAATCGTCCACCAGTATGAACAATATAATTGATTCTTAACAAAATAAACCTGATATTTTCTCCACGAGCAAAGTGCACTTGTTAAGACCAAAGTTCATTAAAAGTAGCAAATGCCTTGTCAAGTTTCCTTTTCACCGCTGAAAGAAATCGAACGAGTTCTTCGCAACTGTGTCAGTGAATTGGCAGAGCGATTGAACGCGAGCAAGAAAAGGAGCAAAAGACGTGGGTGTGGTATTCAAAGATTGAGATTGCCAGAGACTTCGGTAACTGACAATGATGTTTGTTCCTCTGATGGATAAGTACTCAAGAATTGTAACAAGGAAGTACCCTCAGTCTTCAACTCGGTGATATCGGTATTGGTAACTGTAAACTTGATGCGCTTGATGCGCTCATTCTGTCTTTATTATGACCTTTACGCGTTAAATGCGTTTTAAGTATCTTTTTAAAGAGCGATAATACGATATTTGTTAAAAAATAAATCTAAACAAAAGCAGATAAATCGTTTTAAATTATTACATTTAATGGATAATAAAATAGATTATATCGCGCGATAATCTATTTTATTGTCCATTAATAAACACTTCTGTGTGTATTTACAAAAAAAGGAATGGAAAAACAAAGTTTATTTTTCTAGTAATGTAATAGCTTGTAGAGAAATTCTATCGCTGATTTATTGGTACCGCGTATCGTTGGCTGCCAGCCAAACGCTGTTATGTATCAGCAAAAAAAACAACAATATTGATTTTATTAAATTGAAAGATAAGATTTATATAAATATAATTCATACTTAATAACAAATTATTATATATGATACGCAATATTATTAAAATAAAACTGAAAATATTAATAAAAAATATAATCCAGATTTCCAGAATCCTTGATACATATGAATTTTAAAAGGTGCAAGTATGTCGCAAATCTTTTTTATCCATGTAAAAATAAAGAAAACAATTTTTTTTACAGTGTCACGAACTATTTTGTGGTGAATCTCTCCGTCGCTGATTTATTGGTTACTATGATATGCATGCCAGTGGCTATCAGCCACGCAATATCGATGGCTTGGAAATACAGTGAATTCATGTGCAAACTCGCTTCTTATCTACAGGGTAAGTATTGCATTTTCATGGTCGGAAAATCTTTAAAAGTCAATCTCCACTCTCATTCGGCTTGGGTGCGCTTTAAATCTCTCACAGTGTCATCGCTCCCTGTTGCATTTTGTTCCATTTTATTGTATATAAAATATGTATTGCATTTTAACAGTCTGTCTTCTTTTTTCTGACTCTTTTATTACTTTTCGTACTTGTACATATATTTTTGCCCGCATATTAAAATTTTTTAAAAAATATTTTATATGGAGGTGTAAATATGAAGCATACTTTTCTGTAATACATTATTTTACTATGTAATAAAAAAAATGTCGAATTGATCAAAATTTCATACATTTTATCGTTGATTCAATCGTTATCATGATTACCGCTACGGATATTTATCAGACAATTGGCGTATCTACGCAAGCAACTCGATTATGCATCGTTCTACAGCAGTAATGAGTTCTTGTTTTGCAGAATGTTCAATTTTAATACTGTTAACATTTTCAGCATCTAGAATAAAAAAAGCTCCCATTATATTTTTATCTAAAAAGTATCGCTATCTTATCCTTGTACTCTGGCAAAGCGCAAACAAGTTATGTATGCTTGCGATTTTTTGAAACATTGCTTGTATTTTTCTCCGCCTTAAAATATTGGTCAACATTTGCTTTTAATATAAACTAAACTTTCCCTTTTTTAAGAAAAGTGTAACAATTCCTGCTGCAATCATATAACAGCGAGATATTGCGAATATATGAGCCCCTTATTTCCCAAGTGGTGTAAGTCCAAAATTGAAGATTTTACACTAGAAATGTGTTCTAAGGATTGTCTGCATCTAATAAACAAGTGGTGTAAGTCTAACTTTATAAATAAGCCGCTGGGAGCAGTACAAAGTTGACGGAGTAAACGATAACAGATAGGTAGCCCAAACGTAAAATATTGATTTCCCAACAATTTGGGAAATTGGACTTACACCACTTGGAAAATAAGGGCTCATATTTCTCTTACGTCATCTATGGATAGAACGTCAACGCATTTACATTCATATGTAATTTCAGATATCACAAATGTACCAACTTCTTTGACAGTTTTATTTTTATTTTAGCGCATACAATTCAATTCACGTTCACGCGTTTTAGCTCGGCGTGTGCATTATTATTATTTTAACTAGACAAGCTACTTTTCTTTATGCACACACAGACACATACATACATTTGCAAAAAAGAGAACTGAATAGTAAGTGAAAGAAATTAGGAAGCACTCCAAAAAAGCAACATTATTAATACACTAAACTTACGGAGATTATAATTCAAAGAAATATGTATTATACACAAAAAAATCACTGTGCAGTATTATGTAAAGTATTAACATAATTGCTTAAACTCGATGTTGCTATTTTGACTTATTTTTACAATGTGTATGCAGACTGAAATAGTTACAATTTATTTCGGTAATTGAAATAATTATCCACTTCAATAATTTCTTATTTAGGTATTTTTATGTACGAAAAAATCTGCAATACTAATAATGGAAAGATCGCAAATTTGGAATTATCTACTTTTTGAATTTGTAATTGCAAAGCGCACGCACAAAAAAAATAAAATTAATAAATATGCCAATCTGAAGCTTTATTTAGCACGTACTTATTTTTTCTGTATGTTACCTTCGTACAGTGATTTTAAAGCGCACGGTTCATCTACGAACTTCTTAAGGCATCCGTGCTTTTTTCTCCTTCTGTTTCCCTCCCAAATCCTCTCCGCCATCCTCCCCCCCCCCCCTCTCACTCACTAACACATTCTTATTCTCCTTCTTCCACCCTCCTTCCCTCCTTTCCTCTACTTCTTACTTTCTCCCCCTCCCTCTCCTTCTTTGTCTTTTCCTCTCTTTCTCCCAAATTATTTTCATTATACATGTATAATATCGTATGAGAGAATATTTGATAGAATTCTGCAAGAGGAGATAATTAGAATCTCGAATAATTTTTTTAACAAAATCGTAAAATAATGTAATATATGCTCAGCTTCTTCACAGCAAGCTCTTTAAAATATGTTATTGAAAATTATAGTATATATAAATGTCCGCGTTATGAACGGACAAAGGTTAAAGACACACAATGTTTTTAATAATTTACATATAAAACATCACACCATTATTTTATTACTTGTTACATGTAACGAAATCACGCGTGAAATAGTTTGCAATTTTTAACAAGCAAACATACGGCGGAAATAATATACGATGCTGTTTCTCTATATTTCTCGTGGCACACTCGTTGCGTCAAATATTTCATAAATATTTTATGATATACATTGATAAATCGTGAAGTTCTAATTTAAAATATATAACATTACGATAGCGTAAAAAATGTATTAAGATAAAATACAACGGATTAAAGTATTAGTGGATTATAACTTTTGTTGTAAAAAGAAAAGCAATCAAAATTGCGAGCTCTGAGAAGAGACCTTAAATAAAATTAAATCAAATTGAGGAGTGTATGTATCGATCTCTTTTAACGATAATTGACAATAACTGGCTATGATACTTTGCTTTGCGCACTCGCAAAATTGGATCAAGAAGCATGGGCGTGACCGATCGAAGAAATGCGACATAAGAGATCGGTGGTATTCGAAATTTCCTGACCAAATAATTAGCCGTGTTTACAGGCGTTGCCGTTGCTGCCTCAGTGTTCACCATCACGGCTATGAGCATCGACAGATATCTGGCAATAAGGAGCCCGATAACGTTTCGCCGTATATTCAACCGCAAGAGCACCCTGCTCGTTATTCTCGTTCTTTGGTTGGTAGCCCTGGCTATCTTTGCGCCCGTCTTTGCAGCGGTAAGTAAATCTCGATTATGAATTGCTATTGAGCCTGTATGTACGTTAATTGAACATATAGACACAAAGAGAATCTAGAGTATTCTATGAGCCCATGTGTTTCGCACACACGTAACATCTCTTGAAAATAAAATGAGGATCGAATTTCTATGCATATTGTATTTTCCATTCACTATTTGTGGAATTATAAAAATGTAATAAAACGGGTGGATTTTTTAATAAAAATATGAGGTGTCTTTTGAAAGAATAGATTTATGAATTCAGAATTGGGAATTATGGATTCAGAAGAATTATCGCAACTACTAAATCTATTCGCAAAGAACAGAGATAAATGATATGATGTAAATTGGAATGTATATTCTCTGATTCCTTCGGGAGAGATGAGATTTCACGTGCGATTTTACCAATCGCATCACTGGAATGTATTTATCCAGCTATGTGCTGTAAATCTTTAATCAGTAAAGGAAACATATTTATCTATCATGTGTATATTCAATACATTTGCGATGTAGCCATTCAATTTTGCATGTTGTGCATAGCAATGTTTGTGCTTTACAGCGGAGCGCGCGTGAATGTTGGTGTACGATACTTTTTCACCCGCTTGTTTGTCATAAACAAAACTTGAGGAAACGTTCGGCGTGCAACGATGCGAGAAATCGTAAGATTGCGAGGATGCTCGCGAGAGTCGAATAGTAAGTATCGCGTGGGTTATGCAAATAACGGATTATACCAAATGCACCGGCCCGCATGAACTTGGCAAATATAGCTTAGATTAAACTAATTCAACCAAGCGAGGAAAGTGCGCACGCTGCAAAATGGATAGAAAGCCGTCGATGGCGCAGCATACTGGAATCGACGTCGCGGTTCGACGACGGCGTGGAACAAGTTGAACCACCGTGAAACAGCCGATCCGCATTAGTATCGCCCTTTTGCACAAAGCTGCGCCCGTGCTTGCATTTGCGTTTCCCGTTTTTCCAGAACAATCATTTCGTCGTTATATACCCGCAGGCCCGCGATGCATTGTACTCTATTTGACTGACGAGCGCTTCAACGTAAAGAGGATGTAACGTAAGACAAATTAAGCTGCCTCTCTCTCGACAGTCTTCTTCTCCGCTGAAATTCTTTGCGATCCTTCAAGTCTGTTACCTTCCAAACGAAGAAACGAAGAAAGTATCTTGAATGGCAATATTTGATACATGGAAATATTGGGGACACACTCGGATCTTTTTGGAGACTTGTTAATCTCATATTTGAAAAATTTTATAATGGCAAATCTTCTTTTATTTTTGCGTATTGTATACAATTATATATAAAAATATTTTGTTGTGGTATAATTCTTTAAGATTAATTTATGCTAGGCATTTCTTCTTTAATTCATTCATAAACTTGTAGTCACTGCGCAATACGAAATAAGGGAAATAACAGGAAAACAAATAGGACAACTAGGAGCCACGTAACACGTGTCTCAGGTACGCGTAAGTGAAGGCTTAACAGGATGTTATCTATGAGTGGATCGATAATTGAAGATTGACTAAAAAGCGCCAAGTGCTATTCGTTTGAAATCCATAAAACGGTGAAAAATTATCACTTTACAAATAGAATACGATAAACGTTCACGCTCTTATTTTGTTTGTATTCGTTTAAAGATTTTATTGAATAAAACGCTTAATTAATTAATATTACACAGCTTTAATATAATCGAATGAGTTTGCTATGCAATGTAACGACATTTAATCTAAATATAAAACATAATTTATATGGCCAATGTAATATATTAACTGCTTCAATCATCAAGTTTAATCACTATTTTTATCAAAAAATAAAATAAAGTACAGAGACAATATTGAAATAATAACAGTGCTTTTTTTTTAAATCGATAATACAAAGAAATGTTAGTAATAATAATAATTAAAGAATAATAGCATTATATTTGCGATTGTCAAACGGAATCTCATAACTGCTGCAAAACTGATGTCGAACTTGAAAAAAACAGTGTGAGCAAATGAGCATTTACGAATCCATTAGTCAAATTAATTACATGCCCATCACAGGATTAATCGATAAAGCCTATCAATCAATCAATTCCGTGATCTATTTAATCGTCAATATCGAGACAATAAAAATTAATCGCCTAAATGCGAAAAATGCACCCACGAAAAGTAATTGCACAAGATTTCGTAATGGATTATCAAAGTTCCTGTCCGATATGTCAGAAACATATTTTGCTGGAGCAAAGCTTTGTGCCAGAAAATGAAACGCAGTGTCAGAACAATGTTACGTCCACTCCACTGACGTGTGCGGTCGTGTGCTGTTATGAGCTTCATAACCGCCCTTCCCGCAGATGACTGTCCACAGTCCGACCGTGGGTCTCAACATAACTTTTGACGGATCCTGGACGGACGAAGGAGATGGAACTCAGGACGATTATCCACACGATATTCCGCGTCGTCAGCTGCCGCCGGACGTCTATATTTGTTCGGAGGATTTCGAGCCGCTAGGCATCAGCGCGGGCCTCTTCGGCTCTGTGTGTTTTGTCCTTGTTTACGCTATTCCGGGTAAGTTTGTACAATAATAATTAATAAACGAATCATCATTTTGCGGCTTCGCGAAATGACACGAGACGAAGAATTTTTATATGCGAAGGGCGAAACGGAGGAGAGTATTTATATATAACTTTGATAGTCTCGTATTACAATTAATCAAACATGGTCATTTTATTACTGTCGCACCATCAATATCGATTACCAACAATTATTCGTCAACAGTAGTACTTGTTTGCGATATTAACTAATTGTGACGATTATACGTCACTAACAATTACACGTTCATATTTAATAAAAATTTATTATTTGTTATATAAAATTGTCTGACGATCATGTGTGTCGCGATTTTAAACTAGCATACACAAAGGTTTTTAAACCTTTTCTGCACACGTCACCTTTTTAGAGGAATCTTTTTATATTTGAAATTACTTTCAAAATATTCACTCGTTATCTTTTACAAATTTGAATATTTAATTACTCTATTTAGTATCTAAAAATATATATTTCTTGATTATAAGGGGATATTATAAAAACAAATCTCTATTGATTTAAGAAAAGCGAAGGGAAAGCGAGACTGCGCACGTAACCTGATATTATAATAATTTTCATCGTTAATTATGTTTAATTACACTTAATTTTATTATTGTTTGAATAGTTAGAGGAACATTTGATTTCTTACTACAAGAACAAATTATAGTCTTGATTACAAGTTATAACTATTAACGTGTTAATTGTATTAATTTACTCTCCTGCGTCAGCGTATGACATAAATACGCATTTTGTAAGATCGATTCCTTCGTTTTTCTCTTCTTCGATTATATTATTTTAGTATGTTTCGGATGATTCAGGTCTTCTCGTAATATTGGCCTACTCGATGATGGGCCGCACCCTTTGCTCCAGGAAGCCACCATTTGATTGCGAAAGCACCGAGGGAAGCGCCAGCTCGCAGCAGGTTTGATAAAATTACTTTTAACATAACGACGCTCGATAATCATCTTTTTAACTTGATATTGGTTAACTTGATATTGGTTAACATGACGTGTCCACTGATCACTGATTAAAGCTATTAATATTCTTCACAATATATTTTTGCTGAATATTTCATTTATTAAAAACGACAGAGTATTCATGCACGCGACATATTTATCGTGACGAACTAGTTTTATTTTGTTGGCAAAAATCCGCTTGTATTTATTTGTGACTTTTTACGCGCAATATGTCAATTGCACGGTACATGTTTGTAATCACTCGCGTAGAATGAATGTAAAATCGCTACGCGTTTACCAAGTGGCGATACCTGTGAAACGCGAATGCAAATCATCTGCCGTAAGTCAATTTCGCATAGCCAATTATGAAAGTTCGCAAAGATATGTCCGTGAATTCAATTGAAGCATGCTGAGCCAGATGTTTTATGATAGAATCCCGCTTTGGTTTGTTAAAACCCGTCCAATCGCGAGCTCGTTGTCGATAATTGCAATTCGATGGCAGCAATTTGCCATTCGTATTATTTCCTCAACTATCACTATTCGTGTTCGTTCATTCAAAGGTGTAAAATGAGAGGTGTAACCTATTTCGACTTTCATTAAAATCAAGTCTTGTTTCACGTTTTATTAAAATCTGCGTAAACGTTGTCCATGAAAAATTCTTTAAAGTCAAATTGACAAATTGTGTATCTTTTACAAATTATGCAATCACGCTTACTTAAAACGCTTTCTTTCACTTAGTTGCTAACTGATTTGTCAACAAAAAACATAATGCAAAAAAGATGAAAACAATTTGATCTGTAATCTACAATTTGTTTCGTTAATCTACAATTTGTTTCGTTATGAATCACAACTAATGAGGAGGAAGAAAGAGTGAAAAATTAATCCTTTGCTCCCGATTCTCCGATGGGAATTTCTTTCTGCACGCTGCAATACTGTCTGTGTCAAGATGCAATAAATTAGTTATGAATAAACTACAAACCAACTCCACGAACTTGGCGGAATTGTGTTGTACAATTCCTCTCCGAGTAACGCCGCGCAATTTCTATAACAGAATCTTATCAAAGAATACACGTTGCTCAGCGATCTTCTGTCGTATAAATAACTCTTAATGACATAATTTTGATGTACAGAACGTATATTATTTTTTGTAAAATTATTCTGACCTAACAACATGGTAGCACTCGCTTTTCAAAGCGCATTTTGATGAACTCTCATGTTGCGACCAATCGTCGGTTCGTCCTTGAAAAAATAAAAAAAAACGTTACCTGCTCGGCCGACAAAACTCGAATGCGAAAATCGATCAAACCATGCGATCCCTCTTAGTCCCTCTCGTTTCGTGTCCTGCGCGGTACTTTGAAACCTATCTATGCTAATCCCAACAGAATCCATTAGACGTACGATTAATTCCAATCTAAATTCAACAGACATGCTGATACCTTCTGTTCGCAGAGCTACAGATTGGTACGTGAGAGAAAACGAGTCGCCTGGATGCTGTTACTTCTTGCTGTACTTTTCGCCTTATGCTGGCTGCCCTACAACGTGCTTAGATTGTTGATCGATATCGGCGCTGTCGGTGAGTGCAATATCTTGCAAAAATTTCTATTTTTTAAGGCAGCGTCTCGTAGCTAAAATATTTACGTCAATCGTCTACTCGAAATATTTCCCAGTTCCAACTACACGTACAGTTTTTACATGGTTTCTATTACAAAAGTTCGATGCATTTTATGAATTTGTACTTTCTCTCTTTCCACGAATTTGTATTTTGTAGCGTTAAAATATTTACATGCGTTTGAAATATATTTGCACATTTCCGACTGTACGTGCGATTTGTGTATCGTCCATTAATCAATCGTCCATCTTCCCTACGCAAACCTCCATTCTGCCCAATTTATTATAGAAAAACACCTTATTGTTTTTTTACGTTTAACAGATGCGTGTTTTTATGAATATTAAATTGATTGCACATACGTAAAGAGAATTTTTCTATTGAAACGGAAGAAGATAAAGCTTTCTGCAATTTAGTCACTAGCAATTTTACTGAATAAACGAATCCATATAAGCAAATATACCGTCTTGGCAGTGGCGAATGTAGTAGAAGATTTATCGCTTGATAAAATCTTTGAAATTGCTTAAGCCGTGAAGCCTCCAAATACGACGATGTCGATAACTTACTGCGTCTATAGGTTAAATACGCGAAACCTAAATAATACCGCTAGGAAATTAGGAAATAACCATACATGATTTAATTCTCGCGTTGAAAATGAGTATAATGTAATTATGCATTTTTATGCTCAGTACAATATATTTAAGAAGAAGTATAAAAATGATTGATAATAAATAATCTTGCAATAATAAACTTACATTCATTACTGCGAGGAAAAAAGTATCGGATAATGTATTTCAAATTGTAGTGGAATTACATTATGTAAATGCGAAGTCTGATAACAGCATTTTTGTAGTCTTTGGAAGTTAAAAAGAGAACTATCGAAATCTACTTATACGGTTTAATTGAAATTGAAAAACACTACCGAGGCATGAAATATGTATCTCTCAGTTCGTCGAGTTTATTTTATATTTTATCGCGAGTAACGGCACTGCAAATGATACTTTGAAGTAAGCACTTCACTTTCATCGCATGCTATCTACTTTATGCCTTTATGCAAATACCCTTATGAAAATCAAAATATCTACATGCTTTCTCTCGATATGTTACGACGCATGTAAAAAAGATTCGTCCGGTCTTTTACGATGCTTTAACATTCCTTCGTTCTGTTTATTACACAGTCGCGCTTTCCCATCAGCATTTATTCTCTCTATAATTAAAAAAAAACCGTGTTAATTTTCTATGTGCATATCTATGTTTCATTAACAATAAGATTCTAGAAATTACTAATTAAATGCATCAACATGGGAAAAAAATTTTATATCAAAAATTATTATAATGTGGCGGTAACTACGGACCATCAAAAAATTATAAGTTTAAATGCTATAACCATTATTTTAAAAACAATAAAGTAACGCAATTTTTACACTTTCTCAGAGTAAAAATTTTTATGTTATAAAATAAAAACTTGCTGGGTAAAAGTTAGTATTGCAAAAAAAAGTAAAAAATATCGTAAATTTTTATTGTATACCAAGTAAAAATTAACTCTTCCCACTTTAGAATATGATTTGAGCGGTTTCACAAAAATTACTTTATCTATGTGATAAAAAGTAGTGCTGCCATAATAAAAGTTACGTTGAAATCATGTAAACATTTTAAATTCTCAACTCATTGTTAAGGATTTGAGGTGAAGGAGAAAGTGATAGACGTTGCAAGAATTAACCAAAATGCGCAAATTTTATCGAGCATAAATAACAATTGAACACTGCAGCCGAAGCCAGAAGTGTATGTATTGTACATACAGGGTGTCCGGTAATTGCTAAATCACCTCTCGGGTGTAGGCAGAGCGGTTTAAACCGAATAGAAAAGTCCTCTATCATTTTGCGATTTTTGCAATAATTAATGAGGAATTAATTAAAAAATATCGGTTAATTCGCGCGAGTTTAAGAGCGCGGCGAGAAGAGACCCATGGCGATACAGCCCACTGTTATTTGGTTACTAGGCGCGTGATGAAGCGTTGGGAGGAACGCTCTACAAATGACAACGGCAACATACGAGCGGTGCGTAACGCTAGATTCTTGCGTCTTAGCGACTACGTAACAGTGGTCTGTCTCTTCTCGCCGCGCGCTTAGACTCGCGCAAATTAGCCGATCTTCTTTAATTAATTTCTTATTAATTATTGCGAAAATCGCAAAACGGTAGAGGACTTTTCTACTCGGTTTAACCCGCTCTACCTGCACCCGAGAGATGATTCAGCAATTACCGGACACACTGTATATTATTTGGTTTAGATTATTTTACATTGTATAATATTTTTTTCTATTATTGTGAATATACTTATTGTACTTATCATTTTGTACCTATCATTAACAAATTTTTATTAGATTAAGTAAAAAATTGTATATTATTTATTTTGTCAGTTAAATAATAAATAAAATATTACTAATTATAAATAAAATTAATAAAAAGAAAAAGAAAATCCGGAGAAAAAGTAATAAAAGAAAAAATGGGTGGACTTCCGAAAAGCTATCACCTTTGATTTGGCTGATATTCAGCTTAAATACTTATTTTATCTAATAAATAATATTCCCAAATGGATTTTTGGCGCAAATTTCCCCTCCGCCCCCAGCCCCCCTCAAAGGTAAAACTGTTTTTGGTAATTATTTCAGAAAGTATTCACTGTACGGAAAAAGTTGTTAAATAAAAAATGAAGCCCATAAAAAACTCTACAAATAAGGTTCTATACATATTTTACCTAACTCCAATATTTTAATCGTTACTATCAAAAAACTCGTAAAAGCCCCCGTAGAAGGGGTGATACCCACTGCATCCATGCATACACTTTACAACGCGAAGCAAGGTTCCACATGGGTTTACGACTTTCTACGCAAAGCGAGATTCAATCCAGACCCTATGTGTATAGTTTTTTGATAATGGAGCTCCTGCAGAGGGGCGGAACACACTGCCTCCACGCATACACTTTCCACGCGAAACGAGGTACCACATGGGTTTACGAATTTCTACGCAAAGCGAGATTCAATCCAAATCCTATGTGTATAGTTTTTTTATGGTGGAGCCTCCCGCAGGGGGACGAAACACACTGCCTCCAGATTTTTGATAATAACGGCTAAAATATTGGAGTTATGTAAAATATGTATAGGACCTTATTTGTAGAGCATTTTATGAGCTTCATTTTCTGTTTAACAACTTTTTTCCATACAATAAACACTTTCTGAAATAATTAACAAAAACAGTTTTATCTTTGAGGAAGGCTAGGGGCGGAAGGGGCATTTGCGTCAAAAATTCATTTGGGAATATTATTTACTAGATAAAATAAGTATTTAGGCTGAAAATTAGCCAAATCGGAGGTGATAGCTTTTCGGAAGTTTATCCAAATTTTACTACATGCTGTACTATAATTTATGCTATAAAGTCATGATGGTCCATCGATAATACAAAAAATGTAATAGTAAATAATAAAATGTGATTTAAGATTGTATTACAAATTAATATAAAATTTTCTCCGTACAGAAAGCAGATTAATTACTCATTTGCTAATAATTAGCTGAATGAAAAGAAAGAATGAAAAGAAGAGGTAACAATGTATGCAAATACTTTCCATTACGAATTCTCTCAAAATACATTTAGCGGCGAAAATTCTCTTGCGTAAACTCTTCTCTTTCTATTTCTTGCGAGACGAATATATGATCCTTTGACATATCGAAGGGGCATTTGCGTCAAAAATTCATTTGGGAATATTATTTACTAGATAAAATAAGTATTTAGGCTGAAAATTAGCCAAATCGGAGGTGATAGCTTTTCGGAAGTTTATCCAAATTTTACTACATGCTGTACTATAATTTATGCTATAAAGTCATGATGGTCCATCGATAATACAAAAAATGTAATAGTAAATAATAAAATGTGATTTAAGATTGTATTACAAATTAATATAAAATTTTCTCCGTACAGAAAGCAGATTAATTACTCATTTGCTAATAATTAGCTGAATGAAAAGAAAGAATGAAAAGAAGAGGTAACAATGTATGCAAATACTTTCCATTACGAATTCTCTCAAAATACATTTAGCGGCGAAAATTCTCTTGCGTAAACTCTTCTCTTTCTATTTCTTGCGAGACGAATATATGATCCTTTGACATATCGAAAACATACGGCATTAATTAATTTTTCGTCCGCTTCATGGAGCGAGATGTAACAAAAAGATATCATGGGGTATTGTTCGCAGAAGTAACGCTAATAAAGGATGCGCTCAGGTACTGTCTGCTTCTGGGACACGCAAACAGCGCCTTGAATCCCGTGGTCTACTGTTTCATGACGCGCAATTTTCGTCGCAGCGTCTCGGAGATCCTGCGCAGTTCCTACAGTCTGACACGTCGCAATCCTCGTCATGAAGTAAGTACTACTCGTATAATCGCGCATGTGCGCGTGCGCGTGCGGGTGCATATTACATTCGCCCGTATATGCATGATGTTAAAAGGTATTTCAATAAGGTGGCATAAAAAAGCTCTTTGCTCTGTGGCATCTAAGATATACCTATAAATATGCGGAGTCTACCGAGACGCCCTACCTGCGAGGAAAACTGTGGCAGTAAGCCGGTCCCGTGGGAATGTCAAGTATACTTTGTACAGTCCTCCGTCCTTCTGACTCGCCACTTATAATATTGATTGATCATCTAATGCAAACGCGCGTGGTTCAAGCTGACGCACGCCTATATGAAGTGACGTTAGACTATGAGATTGTTTAATTCTTTTGGGATGGGAGTTTTCCAGCAAAGTAACTTATACAAGATCTTGTTTTTTAAAGGTTTTCAGAATCATTGAATTCGATTGTGGCCTTAGAATTCTCAAATTCAAAATGGCGGATTGAATATGGCGGACCAAATTTCAAAAATTTAGTCCAACTATCGCAAAATTTAGTTTTAGGATTTTTTTGGAATCAAGTGTCACTTTCAAATTTAAAACTTTTAAAGTTGTATTGAGTAACTAAAAATCTCCTAAAATCAAGTTCCAAAATAATTCTATTACTTTTTTCAAATTTGGTCCACCATATTAGATCTGCCATTTTAAATTGCAAAATTCTGAAGTTCTATTCAAATTCAGTAATCTTAAAAATTTCTTCAAAACTGAGTTTCAAAATAATCTAATTATTATTTTTAATGGCGGTCCGCCATATTGGATGCGTCATTTTAAATTTTGTATTTTTGACCTCAGATTCGAATAAAGCATCAATAAATGACATTACCCCTACAGACCAAGTTTTGTGAAAGTGAGCGAGCAGTTACAAATATAAAAGAGGTTGATCTTTATAAAAAACATTCCGGAAAGAATTGAGAAGAAAGAAGATACATATATCAAGAGTCACAAATATCAAGCATAAAGCTTACAGGACTGCTTTTCTAAACACTATTCCAAGAAAGAAAATAATTAAAATAAATGTAATGTTTTGCAAATTCCTGAAATTGGAAAATTAATTTTACCAACTGTCGCATTTTACGTTTCGAGTTTTATATGCATTTCAATATCACTGCATACTATATAGATTGTTAAACATTTTTATCTGTATTTGAAACGAATTATGATGTTTACAAGTTAGGAGAGGGATAATGGGTTCGATTTTCAATAATATATCTCTGACAGTAACAGTGAAATTGCTATTCTCGCTGGTTACAAGTGCCACTTGTCATTTCAAAAACACTTATCGTTGAAATAAAATTTATTCCTAAACACTAATTCATAACGTTTTACATTTATATTTTCTGTTATATTTATATGTTATTATCAATACACTCTAAAAAAGATCAATCTGTTTACTATGTTACAATCCGGCTAGTTATTAGCGGTTTCTTTAATATATTCTGAGAAGGAAAGAGCGAAAGCTTGTTCTTTGTTATCGCTTAGATATCGATAAGGTTACGCAGATTTTTCTGAACGAATTTTTGTATTCCTGAGGAAACATCTCTTTCACATATCCTTTGATTAGATTTTTCATTGACTTTTCATCCCGCATGAGTGTCAAACAATTCTTTACAGCTTTTACGGCTATGAGGTCGAAACTCGTCGAGCTTATGTCTTCCTGTCTTTTAGTCACCTTTGCCATCCTATCAATTAATTATGCAACTGGTAGAAATGTTTAAGGAGAGCGATCAATATTGCAAATGTAAGCGCAATAAAAAAAAAAGTCAAATTTCAAGATTTTTATTTGAATGTTAAACAGTTGAAATATGAATAATAGTAAAATGAGTATAGT